CCTTTTCATTTGACACAAACAAGCCCAATTCTGCCTAAACAGAGGGCAGAATCTGCTAACAGTGAACGTGGATTTATTTCCCAGGGGCAGTGCCGCTCACAGCTAACGCGGAGGAGGGTGTACGTGACTACAGCCTACATATACCTATATACATACAGTACGGATACGCACGCGCACGCACACAGATGATGCGGGCCGTTACAACCCCGTGGTGCAAGGAACAGCCGGATATACAGAATTAACAGGCCTTGTCGAAGGATGTCGAAGTCACTCACGAAAACAAAAGCGGACCAAAACCCCAACCAGCCAAACACCCCCCCACACACACCCGAGGGAAGACCCCAGGGGTGCTCACGGCTGGCCCCAGCACCCTACAGCTCCCCCGAAATGCTGAGATCAATGCCGGGGGGGTGTGGGGTGTGATATTCACCCTGGGACACTTTCTGTATCTTTAGATCCACTTTTCCAAACGATCCCCAGCAAGCGCAGGGGTACAGCGCTGCTTAATCCTGGGGGAAAGCTCAGCCCCCTAACTTGCCAACCTCACAGCAGCAATCCCAAAGGAAGGTGGTGGAGGGGGGCACCAAATTAAAGCTGATTTTGCTAATACAGGTTGATCTTTTCTACCAATAAGGGCCCATTCTCACTCTTTGCCTCTGGAGCTCGTGTGACATTCTTACAGGCTAGTTTTAGAACAAAAGGTGGGTCCGGTCATAAAGTCCAGCAAGTCCATGCCAGCAGCAGTAAAAAAAAAGGGTAAATTCTGCATTAACCGTAAGGAGCCAGCCCCAAAGACCAGCACCGCAAGCCCTGTTGCCGCCTGAGCAGTCACCGGCCGAATCTCCCCGCCTGCCCCCGCGAACGACCACCAGGAGCTGAGAAGGTTTCAGGAGACACGGAGGTCCCTCCCCGCGGTTGGCCGACCCCATCGAACCACGGCCAGAGGGATGCTTGAGGTGCTGACCCTTCCTCCTCGCCAAAGCTATTCCCTCGGAAGGCTGAGTCTGAGCAAGCCTAAGCCCCCTCCCCGCGGAGCGTCTCTGTCCCTCGGGAACGTTTTGATTTTGCTGTTCCAAAAGCGGACGTTGCAAACCAACCTACGTGAACCCGGTGGGAAGAAAACCCCATTTTAAACACCACCTAAACCAAACGACCCCCCAACCCCTCACAGTGCTTCGTAAAACTGCGTTCTGAGCCCGGCCCCTGCCCCCCCCAACCCGCGCACAGACCCCGTTTCGTGTCTGCACGAGGCAGCAAGGATGCCAGCCTCACATTTCAGAGTTTTATTCCCTGTTAGTGTAACAAAAACGAAAAAAACAAACAAGACATTCAAGAACCGAAGCGAGATTGTTCAAGTACCGAATAAGGGGCTTCTCCAAACGCTACGGTGTGACGCTCCTCCGGCAACTCTGCCGCTTGCAACAGCCACAGCGGTCAGTCGCGGACATGGTGCCACCCCAGCCTGCGGAGAGCCCAGGGTTTGGGGCATCCGAGAGCCTCCTCCTTCCCCCCGCTCCCCAAAACAGCACTGAGTGTCGACACTCCTTGCCGCAGTCCCCATCACAGCTGCCCGGCCGCGCAAAGGACTGATTTTTGCCCCGCTGCAGCTACAGTGCGGGTACGATTAATCGCAAGCTCATTTCCTGGGAATGGCTTTTGGTTGCGGAAGTCTTGCTGACGCTAGTGTCAGCGGGAAAAGAATCAGGCCCATCAGACGAAAGGAAAACTCCTCGATCATCTGCCACACCAAGAGAGACGCATTTCAGTTTTGGCGTTAAGACAGAGGGCTGCCCGGGACACGACTCCAGACCGTGAGTACCAAGAGGGCAGGGCAGGGCCCTGAGCCACTGCGGATGAGAATGAAGAAAACCCCAGGATACAACCCCCAAATCTAGAGCACTCCAGTGTCCGCAGGTGGGCAAGCCTGGATTACCGCTTCACACGCCAGCGAAGTATCATCCGTTCCTGCGTCGGTTCTTCCCGTGCTAGGGTTACTCGTAATCCATACGGAAACCAGTGGGAAAAGATTTGTAACTTCCTAACGGCAAAGACACAGCACTGAGGCAACGGGGCCAATGGCAACTGTGGAAGTAGACCTGATCTCCATCCATACGCATACAAAATACTGAATCACCCCCAATCCCTGCAAATATACGTCAAAACAGATTAAACTGTGCATATTCGAGTTTCAACCCCCCACCCCCACCCCATTTAACACTGTGCAAAAGTTGTTTAACTCTACATACATATTTCATCCCACACGGGGCGATGGGATCGGTACCCCTCCGGCTGCGGCCGCTAACAGACGGTGCTACGACAGCCGCACCACCTCCCCCTTCGACTCCTGAAACCAAGAACGTCTCGCACCTTCCTGTTTTAAAAGAACTTGAGTGCCTTTGTTTTGCCTTTACGTTCACATTTCCTGTATTTGTTTTAGGCTTAACAGCTGGGGTTCGTACCAGGGTGTTATATCCTGCACCCCACCAGCCCGTTTCTGGTTTCTCAGCCCTGCAAGCGCAGAACGGCTCCCGGCAGCCGGGGGGTCTCTCACAGGTCTAACGCTACTGAGCAAACGGAACCGGGCCAAGCCCGAGCGCAGCAGGCCCAAGCCCTTGCCCCATGGATCACGCTGGCTACGCGTGCCACTCGGTTTTATACCCATTTTCGTTCGCCCTACGAGTGCAAATCGGATGCAAAAAGGAGCTGTGCAATGGCACGCGAGAGTGAAGGGGAGCAATCGCAGCAGCGGGGGCTTCAGGTGCCTCGGCCCAACGCAGCGAGACGCGGCAGCAAAACGCAGCCTCGGGTAACGGAGCCGAGTAACGAGGAATGTGGGCTTAAGCCTGCCCGTAGCTCTGATCTGAAGGTCTGGGCGAACCAGAATTTCAAAGAACGCTTCAAGATGGCTTATTGGCTCAGTGCATCGCTCACAGCAAACACATCACCTGCGATCAGCGAGGAGATCCCGGGGAGCGAGGGACCAGAATCCCAACTCGCTCACACCACTGCGAAGCCAAGCTACCTTCACAGATGCCAATGGAATTACACCGTATTTACCTTGGCAGAGCCAGGGCCGGAGCCTGGACCAAGACCTCACAGGATCAGTCAGATTTCACTACAGGGAAACTTCAGACGGTCCCGCTTCGCTATCCCGCCGCTGTCAGTACTGCGAGGGTGTGCCAGGATTTACAAGCCCGAAAGCAGACCTGTGCTTGTTTAAAACAAAACCGAGCAGATGTGAAACGCTTCAGCCAGGTTGTCCCCGTCACAGAAACAGGGATCAGAAACACGCGCCCCATCAGCCTCCGACATTACCGTTGGAAGAGCAGAGCCCAGCGAGGCCGCCACGGCGGAGAAAACAGACCCTCCTCTTGCATAGGTTTTCCACAGGCACGAGGCACTGGGCCATCAGTTGTGCCTTAGAACTGACTTCCCCCTTGGGAATTCTCCTCTTGGGAAATTCCCTCTCCCTCTTCCCCCAGGAAAGGAAAGAAGGGACACGAGAGCAGACGTGGGTCACTTTGACAGAGCAGCTTGCCTGAATTTTCTCCTCGCCCCGTTTTGGTTAAGTTTTGTAGCGTTTCATTTAAGTAGCAAAGCGGCACCTACAGAACTGTTTGCCAGAAGATCGCGCTCCGGCTGATCAGAAAGTGCCTGGGATGCGTGAGGATGGCGATTAGTGCAAAATAAAAGGTCTCACAGGCATGCCAGGCAACCAGACCACCCTTCCTGCAGCGGCTGCCAGTGCTCCAGCCTTGCCACTTCCCTGCTCGCAAATTCACGACATTCAGCAAAATAATACTCCTAAGTGTAAACACCGAGCATCAACAAGCCTGGCACCCCAGCCCCGGCATTATAGAGAAAACCCCAACCATTTGAACAGGAAATCAGCCCCAGGGTCAGACACAGGTCTAGAGCATTCCCAGACCTGCGCGGCTGTCTGCTTCCTGCCCCGCACAATGGGTGCATTGCAAGGGAACTGCTTCCAGTAACGGGAACAAAAGTAACTTTCAAGGTCGCACACTGAACAATTCCTTTGCCAGTTGTGCTTTGATGCCAAGCGGTTTGGTTTGCCAGACTTAGCTCTTTTTCATTTTAGAAGCTTAAGGAATGGAAATAAGCTGCTTTGTATACTTTCCAGGGAGGGGATTTATTGGATGATTGCTGTACATGATGAAGCCCAGGACTACCCACTCCAGCGTTTGACAGCAGCCCTTGCCAAAGGATGGTACCAGACAGCCAACGACCGAGGAGCACAGCTCTCTTCCCTTCCTGTGTTTTGCCTCATGTCCAAAAGAACTACAAGGGAATTTAGATTATACCGGTGTCCAGGCTCGCTCGGCTGCAGTGGTGTGAGAGTTCAGAAACCAGCTCACAAAGAAGGGATCAGAGGAGACCTATAATTAGCACGCTCACTTCTATACAACTGGAAACGACTACGCCTCACGAAAGAATTTGGTACAATAAGCCATCCAGAAGCATCCGATTGCACCTACCTCTTCCGTGCCAAAAATCAAGCGTTACCAGAGTCTGTCATTGTTCAGCAAGAGAACTGCAACAGGCGAGTGCAAGCTTCATCCTAGTTTACATTCTGCAGCACAGTATCATTAACAACTGGAAACAGAATCTCAACCTGAGGAATGGTGAGGGGGAGGGGAGGGCATGAAGAAAGAGGAGAGTGAGCAATTACATCAGATCAGACAAATTTAGTATTTTGAAGCCACACGATGTTTAGCTTTTCCGTTTATTTGTTTCAAGTTTTGGTGTAGAAAGTATGTGCGGATGCTAATGCAACCTTCCCCGTAAGTGCTCGATCTAGCAACGAACAAAGTTTTGGTGTGTTCAATTTGGTTACGTTTCCGTTAAGCGAAGACCTGTAGTGCCATTGAAACCAAAACTTTGTTGCTGTTGGCAAGAAGAAAAAAAAAAAAATAAAGCAACTTTTCTTTACAAGCATTTTCCCATTTAAATAAAAACCTGAAGCTTTCCCATAATTCCTTTGGTCTTCTCTCACCAAATTCCATGCTACCTCAAGACAAGCCCTCTTTTGGAAGTTCGGCTGATTCGCAGAGAAGCTGCTAAAATTAACAGAGAAGAATTGCTGTGGTAGAGTTTCCCCCTAGCTTCTTGGGAGTTTTAAGACTGAAAGACATTACTGATGCCTCAAACAGAGGCTTCAAATCGTCTCTACGAGAACAAGAGAAAACAAAATCCCATTAGAAGTTCCACTGAAGGTGCCTGGCAAAAAATGATCTCCATAAAACCATGTTTTGCTTCCAGTATTTTTTTTGTATGCGTCGTGTTTATTCCCCTCATAAGGAAACAAAAGTATCAGTGTAAAAGCAGAGCTGAGCTTTTAAGGTAGCACCAGGACACCTACACCCAAGTTGTCGTCATGTTGCTGCTAGGCCTCTTTTTGATTCACATTCACAGAATCACTTCGTGTGCAAAACAAGCAGTCTAAGGAGAATGAATGCCCTCCGAGTTCTAATAAAAACTGTAGAAAAGAATCCAAGATAGCCAACGCTTTCCTCCTCCCCAGAATTTATCTGCAGAGAGAGGGGGGCATCTGTGCGTAGACAGGATAGGCAAGCCTGACGTTTAGGGAATCGTTGTGTTGGACGAGGGATGTCTGCTGGTAATGAAGAACCAAATCCTTCAGTGTGCTGTACAGGTTGTATGGTTCTGCAAAGCCGTAGCCTCTTGGGGTGCTGTAGATCACACAGTGTTTCACTTCTCCATCAGCTCTGCAAGGAAAGGAAACAGGAGAGTTTAACATCAAAGGCCAAACCCGAAGTGACAGTCTATTAACAATTAACTAATGCAGCAACCCTGCCAGTCACTAAATTACATAATGGAGGACCCAGTAGATGCAAGTAGAGGAGATTAATATAGTCTGTGAAGAAACAGTGCTTCAGGGCACGTGATTAAACACTCTTGCATAACAATCCGCATAAGAGGCCTCTTCTATCCCAGCACTACAATTCCCTACTGCATTGTTCTCTCAATGTTTCTCAGAGAAAAAAAAAAAACCAAAAAGAGTCAAGAGCTTAACCCACAAGATAAGCACCTGAAGTCAGCACCAACTTCCAGCTCAACTGATCTGGAAACCTTTCCACTAAGTGAACAAGCCAAACCCCACAGATTCTTAGGACCTGCAGGGTATTTCACGAAATGCAGCACCAGCCTGCAGTGAGCATTTTTAAACGTTAAGCATGGCATGACTTCAAGTCGGTTCAGTATCTGAAATCACAGCGACCCAGTCCCTAACTTGGCAAGGCAGCTACTGCAACACGGTATTTCCAACGCTGCTAGAAAACCGTATCTGCCAGAAAGAGTGAGCATTATGTAATCCCTGTACTGGAGCCTATCACACTCCAAGTCACACGTAGGAACAGGTTACGTTATGCCATCCCTTTGCTATCTTGCAGCATGATACCAACCAGGCGAAAGCATCCGATGAACCCATTGCTTCAGTGACTGTGACAAACGGTATCTTGAACGTAGCAGATACCACAGTCTTCAGTTACCCTGAGGTGATATACCTTCACATATTCATTTCTCGGACTTGCTTTCAGAACCAATTAACCTCACGCGAAATAAATCAGCGAAAGCCATTTTGCACTGCACGACAGGGTTGAAGGGTTTTTAGATAATGGAATCCAAGTATTTCTGACCTCCGTTACACCAGCATAAAATGAAGTGAAACAAAAGAAATCAATGCGAGGCTGTGTGAATGGCATGAAAACTACTCTTCACAAATAATGCCTCCTCTGAAGCGTCACCGTTACCTTAAACGGCCAAGAGAAAGCATCTACAGCTGGCCATGTCTGAAAATGAGAACGGAAGGTGTTACAGCTTTACAGCCCTGTTTTTCTTCTTCCTATGTGTTCCCTGGAAGGGAAGAATATAGGAGACTCTGGCCTCAATTTATTTATGACTCTAGAGCTTCAAGAATTGTGTACTAGCTACTGTGGTGAGTGAAGAGTCTGCTAGAACTACAGGTATTTTATATGTATACAAAGCACATTCCTGCAGCAAATCTTTTACCGCGCTAGCCTCACCTGCAAACATTCAGCATCTTCCAATGGTTAGTCTTAGGCTAGGCCTGGCTTTTATTCTCCAAAATAAAGAGCTGTGGTAGAGATTTGAGTTGAGTAGTCAGAACAAAAAGGAAAATGGACTTACACCACAGAACAAGCGTAACATCCTTTCTTGCTACTCTCTCGAATTAAAAACGCTCCATCAGGTTTCCCACAGAGCAAGTCTTCCGCTTGGATACGGTTGAGGTCCCCAACAAACCAAGTTTTCTCATCATGATGTGGCAGGTTTTCATCTTCTTCATTCACAAAGTATGTGCTGAAAGAGAAGATGAATTTAACTTAACCAGCAGTCAGTAAAGCAGTTAATAAGCAGAGTGATTTATTTTTGCAGAAATCACTCAAAGAAATACCAGAACACACCCAAATTGGGAGTTCAGGCTCCTCATGGACAGATACTAAAGGCTTCAATTTGGAAATTAATTGTTCCAACTTTAAATCCTAAATGCTTCAGCAGGGTTGCTGCCTCACAACACACAGTTCCCTTAGAGAAGAGAATTTCTCTCTTTCTCTGCAGTCCTTCCTTTTTCTGAAGTCCTTTACTGAGAAACTGGTGTTTTGTGTTACCAACCCTCACAAGAGAAAACACGTATTAATGGAACACTTCTCAGTAAAATCATACATATAATGACACTTACTCATCAATATTTTCATTTTTGATCCCCAGCCAGTCGTTTATTCGCTTCTGTCTCACCCCTTTGTGATTGAGCCACCTGCCAGAAGAAGAGAGCATTAATATGTTACTTCAGAGTACGGGTTTTCTTACTGAGCAAGCTGATGGTCAGACACAGGTTCCCACAAAGACACAGTCAGAGCTTAGTTTGTTCCCCGGCAGCAAAAGCCATAGAAACACCATAGATTCCATCAGAGTGTTTCCTCGCATCATCTTCCTAGATGCCATGAAGCAGTCTCTTAAATGGAAAAAGAGGAGGGTAGAGCTGAGGAAGGGGTATTGCCTCTGCACAGGGCAGGCCAGAAAGGAAGCAGAATACAAACTGTGGCAGCTGCCTGTGCTCTTGGGAAAAGAAAATGGGTATTGCCACTGGCTTCTCCTAAGTGCCTAAATCACTTCCTGAGACAGCTTGTTTCCCTCCGTCTTCTGCCAGAATCCTAGTGCACTGAGTCCTGCCCAAGGATATCAGGAGCTGGGTAATAGGGGTGCCAGTGAAATCACGGGTGGGTACAAGAAACATCATCTGCAACCAGCACAAAAAGTACTAACCTCTGTTGTATCAGCAGGGACAGATTTTGTACATGACTCATTTATCTTACATGTTTTATTTAAAGGAGTTGCAGAACGTGCAATTAGTTGTGCCAGGCTCTTTTAAGTCTGACAACAGCACAATAAAGGAATGAAGTCATGAAGAGGCCAGCGTCCCATGCCAGAATGTAGTACCTTAGCACTCACAGAACTTTGGTTTTGAAAAGAAAGTTAAATTCCCATTAACCTGACAAAACCAGTCACTAATCAGGCTCATCAGACACTAATCTGAGGTACAGGTCAGGCTTACTTACACAAGATACTGATCTCTGATTTTGCGGAGCTGAATTAGGTCAGGCTTGATACTATTCATTTTCTTATCAGTCTCCCTGTTGTCCAGAGCTTGTTTCTTCAAATCTTGTTCCAGGCGCATTTTACTATCGTGGATCTCACCCAGGCGTGACTTTAATTTTTCATAGTTCATCATTATCCTGCAAACAAGCGTAATATTTGAGAGGTGAGGTCAAACCACTCTAGGACTGAACCTTACCACTAACAGTTATATATTTATACATCTGAGCAAATCAAAACAGAAGTGGGATGAGCAAATGCATCTATTATTACTTCCTGATCCTCAACACAGCATCACGATTTACTGAAGCTGAGAGAATAGAAACGTAGAATCGTTTAGGTTGGACAAGAGCTTTAAGATCATCAAGTCCAATCGTTAACCTAACCCAAAGATCCACTGCCTACAGTGCAATTCCCTGGCAGAACAGGGCTTTACTGAAAGTTCAGACACCTTGGGGGAAGGTCTCAGAGTAAATAGGGAGTTTACAAAGTGTTCTATATGATGCAATGTTGTATAAAAGAACCTGATGGGAGTGTCAATGTGGACACCGGTCCTTCCTTGTAAGCAAATACCACTTGAGTGCTTACCGTTCAATTTCTTTGTCATTCCCCTCCCTGCGGAATCGCTCAATGTATTCTTTGCTGTATCGCTCTTGTGAGTGGCACTGTTCCTCAAATATCTTAATAGTTTCATTAAATGCTTCAATTGCGGTCCTCTTCATCTGAATTTCCTGTGTGAGGCAAGAATCCTTCATCGTTTGTTCATGATACAGATGACAATGCAAGACTCAGTTATGTTCCCTAAACTGACTGAGATGATGAAGTTTTCTCCCCCCACAAGTCAAAATGTGATTAATCAGTTTTAAATTTAATAGTGCGAGTAGTCAGGGAAGTACAGGAAGACTTAGTCTCTGTAAGTCTACCCTCCTCCCCCACGTGATGCTCTCTATTAGGCTGCAAACCCCTCAAATATTTTAGTCATATTTTCCATCTTAGTTTGCAGGAAGACTGCCAGCAAACCTCCTCCCCATAGATGAACTACCTTATTTTACAAGAAGCAGTCCAAATACTGTATTCACACTTCCTTAATGCATAATATCTGGTATCGGATTTAACTGGCTTCATAGAAAACCTGGACAAACGCCCCCTACAATTTTCACTACAGCTGGAAATACTCAGCAGCCAAGGAAGAAAGCTGCAGTGCAAAGCTTGTAGGTGATGGCCTTCACCACCACTCCACCATATATGAGGAAGCTCAGCTCCTCTTTCTTCCTTGCCCCACACACCTCTAGGACTATCAGCAACAAGTAATATTCACTGTTTCCATCAACTCTGAAACCACCTTGCTCTATTCCACAATTTAGTAAGTTTTCCCCTTCTATTTTCTGACCTTGGACTGCCTTTATTAGCCATAACAGGTTAAAATTATTTTATTTACTTTTTAAATGACAAGAAACAGACTTGACAGATAGCCAAAGTAGAACCAACCTGGGACGTTCGGGTATATTCTTCATACAACTTGTCGTACTCTTTACTCTTTTCCTGATACTGAGCATGGTATTCTTGAAGCTTTTTACCTACAGCATCTATATTATCTTCTTTCACCAACTGATCCTGTACATACAAAAAGCTATTAAGGCTTCAAGCAAAGCAGCTTTTCCTTAAGAGTATTCGTTTGTCCACTTATGCACATTTGCATTTTACAGCTATTAGCATAATTTTTATAATCGTGTTTCTACAGAACACAAACACCGTATCTAAATCCCCCTTCCTCCATGCAAGAAGTTCCACAGTTTACAGGCAGCAGGAACTGCAACTATGGGACACCAAGACTTTGCCAAAATACGAAGCCTTCAAACCCACTACATCTTAGGCCTAGGACTGCTAACGCCTGCGTGAGAAAGGAGGAAGTTAATTGCTTGGAATCTCAAGTTAAAGATCAGATGGGGTTTTTTTCCCCTAAAAGCTCTGCTTCTTTTTCTTTAATGCAAGACAATATCTCAGGCTACTAAACAAAACTTAAAAACCTATTATTGAAAAATTCAGATGGCTGCGCACAGAGCAAGCAGCTGCATGGCTTCTAGGTGCTTCAAGGGCAACACTTGTCTAGAACAGCACTCTGCGGGTCCACGAGAGCCCAAGGCGGGGGGGGGGAAAAATGCTCCTCAGGCTCAAGTCTGCTGCATGTCAGGGCTTCACTTCTCTGTGGTGAACGGATGGAGACTAGAATATTGATGGAATGAAGCAGCTTAAGTAGCCAGACAATTTGGAAGACCCATTATTAGGAGTAAAGTGAGGTCAAATGTGAAAATTCATCTTTTTTTTTTTAAACTTAAAAAAAAAATCTGGCTTCACACAGAGAAAACAAGATCATACACACATTTTCAATCATTTAATTGTCTGCACTAATAGCTACTGGGGTGCGATGAAGATCTTACCTGCTGGTACCGCGACACTGGATACATCAACTTCACATCAAGCTTTGGGTTATACTGAGCAAGAGACTCATTGCGGTAGTGGTTAATGAGTTCCACAACTGAATTAAATGTCAGTGGGTCAGAAAAGCCATATTTTCCATCCCGATGATAGATCTTGATCAGTTTATTGTTGCCACCCTTCCTGTAAAGCGGTACAGTCATTTAGAGCTGTTACTGCGTACCTCCCGTCCCTCTTCATCACTGAGGCTGCTAACAAAGACACCGCTGACACTCCTGGGCAAGCGGCTTTGCCGCTGGACACCTTCACGGTGACTCTTTACATACCAGCAGATATTGGTAGTTTGAGAGTCAACAGAGTTAGCAGCAGGTATTATTTGAACAGGAGCAAAGCCCAAAGTGAATCATAGAATGGTTTGGGTTGGAAGGGACCTTGAAGATCATCTAGTTCCAGCCCTTCCTATGTGTTCATTTTGGAGCCAGCTTATGGTATATTTAAGACCTAGCTTTGCCAGAAGTTTTGCAAGGGAAAAGAAGGATGCTGAAGGCTGAACGAAGGAGCCACATGAAAACCCAAACCCGTAATTTCCTGCAATTTGGGGTCACTAATAGTATACAACTGGGTATACATTTATACAGTGATTAACAAGTCTTTTGAATTATGGGTGCTAATACAGGATACATGAACCTAAACAAAATCCTTTGAGGATTACAAGATGGTTGTAACTTTGGGACTTTACATTATCCAGATTTATCCATTCTAGCTCTTTCCACAAATACAGTGGTTGTTTCTTCCTTTTTTTGACCAACATGCTGTTTAGACAACATCCTGTCCTTCCTGCACTCTCAACTTCAGTTCCTAAAGACCTCTGCATTCAGCAAAATAACCAGTTCATGCCAAACCTTGGTGCACAAGCCACGAACTTCAAGGCAGAAGTCAATGCAGAATTTAAACTACACCCTTGGGGTCAAACCTGCCCTTAAGACAACAGAATTTCATGGCAAGATCAAGTACCTAGCATATCACAGTAACTCCCAAAGGTGTGCTACAGGGGCAGTGGCTTCTGCGTCTCACCTGTTTGCCTCTAACAGCCGATCTTGGGAGCCTGGCAGAGGCAAGCCGCTGGACAGGCTGGGCAAGGCATCAGCCACATGAGGTTGGCCACTGCCAAGAGTAGCCAGTGCTGGGGCAGCTCTGGGAAGTCTGCCACTTGCAGACAATTTTAACAAAGAAGGGAACACGGCTCCAATTCAGTATTTCCTAAACTTTAGATCAGAAAGCACAAGATACTCTCTTTGCAAAGATACCATGTTCAGTTCTGAAGAGCTGCAGGCTGGCGAGATATTCAGCACACTCCCATTAACCACAGCCCTGGTTTATAAATACCTTTTACCTTAGCAGTTCTGAAACTATGGAGGACTACTGAGTGGCTCTCCTCTGAGTCCCATCTAATCTACACAGAGATCCTTATGCCAGTGTGAGGGAAAGGATTCAATGCCCAGGACAGATCTGGCTATTTATTTGCTCATTCTGTGATCTGCAGTACCTTTGGGAACATCTCTCAGCTTGAGCCACGTCAGCTTTACGCAGCCACTGCTGTCACTGGTATAGCAACGAGCTACTCAGGGTTTTACTATGCGGACGACAAGCACTCAGTGCTTACCGTAATGTCAGAGTGTAGTCTCCCTGCATCTTGGTTGATGCATCACGCACCAGGAATGTTCCATCTGGCATGTCTCGTAATTTGTCATTTACTTCTTCCCTAGAGAATGGAAAGGAAGGCAAAATTAGAAGCCTTAAGGACATGATCATCTTTGCCAGAGGTATCAGTACTGGAGCCAGTAACACCATCATGCTTAAGGAGTTCAATCTTCAAAATACCAGGCAATCTTCTTTCACACTCAGGCTTTCCACTCTTTTAGGCCACCTAAAGCAAGTCTGAACTTGTATAGTTACACTAAAAAATAGCAACTGCAGTCAACTGCCACTTAGTAAGAAGTCTGTTTAAGCAACAGTAGCGGCTGTGTCTCAGAGTTCACAACCTTTCCCTGTAATCTGCTCAGGTTTTAAAGTCCACACTGGAAACAGGTGCCCTTTGAGAAGCCAGTCCTGACCTCTTAAGAAACGGTCTCTAGCACCACAGCTCAAAGGTGTCTAGAGTTTAGCACAGTTTTAGTCTCAAGAGACTCATTACTGGCTTAACTCTGATCTTATTTACAGCAGTTTTAAACCACTACAACCTCGCAAGCTTCACTGCAACTGTTCCTCATTTACAACTGAAGCAAAAGGATACTCTCAGTCCAGAGCTCTAAGCTAAATCAAGAAATCTTTTAGTGAAAGTGAGTACCCGCAAGCGTTAAGAAAAGTATTTCAGCTGAAGAGTTAGGTGCCTTGCCAGGTTTGCCCATTTCAGCCAGATTACATATCTCACTTTACAACAGCTCCCTCACAGGTTCTGAGAAGCACTAAGCACTTCTGAACACAATCCTTTGGAAACTGAAGTTTATCAGGTAGCCTCAAGCCTATCTATGTGAGGCAGGAAGCCTACTTGAATCTCACACAGAAAAATCAACAGCGGCTTTTTTGTTCAAATACTAAGGAACAAAAGTATACTTACAAAATTCCCTTAGTTTTGATGTAGCTACCTGAAAAGCATTCTGTTAGTAAAACTGACACTATGAAGTGTCATGTGCGTATCCGCTTACTCCTCTGAGAGCATTTTACAGATTGGACCCAGTTAACTCCAACGGCCTTCTCCTTTTTGAATGGACAGATATGATTTAAGGGCTTGGGCTTATGCCTGCAAGTTGCACCCTGGAGCTCGTGACACTTTGCAGCACAAGCTCTTGACTGAAGAAGGTGGCTCCTGCCCTGAGAGTCTGATCCACTGTGTACCTGCTGGCTGCCAAATTAGGGCCATAAACAATTCCATCTTTACATGCGTGTGTGTCACAATGTAATAAAGCCACGCCGGTGTGATTTGTACTGCATTAGCTCCTGCCATCACGTGCACTGTGAATTGAGGAACAAATCCACAGTCAATAAACTGATCCCAATATCAAGCAGTTTTAAACAAACCCTGCCTAGCGAGTTTTGTGATCAGGTTTTACCACTCTGCTTTGATTTAGAATTAACAGAAAAATCTCTCTGCCAAAGCCCTTCAAAAGCAAGATCTATGCGGGTTTGCTTTATAAAGATAAGGGTGGTACAATAAAGATATGGAAACTTTATTTCCCTTCTCGGGACTTCAGTAAACCACTGTGGCAAACAAGCTCTTCTCACCTCTATCTGACCAAGTGTTTCAAAGCACTGAAGCAATTGCACGGTCTGAGCAATTCCTGATCACGCTCTCAGCATGCTCATGTTTCCCGTTACAGCTCCAAATTCTGGACTCAAGAAGTGCTTTAAG